CTACCATTTATCAGGAATAAGACCTCTTACTCACTTTTCTGCTGCTGGCAAACAGAAAGGCATTAATTACTATTTTATGTTAAAGGAAATTAAATGAAATGCATTATATATATATATATATATATATATATATTTTACCCCATTTATCAGTTTAACAGTTAAAGACTGATAAGAACACCTCCTCCTCTATAACCCAAGGGGCTGAAGAAACCACATGGGTGTAAAAATGAAGTGTGGGGTGACTCTCAACCATCAAAGTTACTATGAGATCAGGTTCTGCAACCAAACAAACTGGTTATCTGCCACCTCTCACATTCTGGTACTGTGAGGCTGCTTCCAGAACTCAGGTCTAGAAAAGACAGCTGCACTGCTGGGCGGAGTCTTGGCAGTGGCTTTTCGGGACTCACAGAGGGAAACCCTATGCAACCTGAACTCTCCTATGAGGAAAGAGGCTTTGGGGAATGTCCCCAACTACTATTATTAGTAGTTACTAATAATATCCTTATGCTGACAGGCGAGCCAGCGGGAAGAAATAAAACTGATTGTGTCCCTCTCGGTCAGACCGACCAGCTAGGGTTTGGGTTTGTTTTTGGTCAGTGTAAAAACAAAACACCCCCCTCTCTGAAGAACACTGATTCTACACAAGAAAGACCTGCAAACCCCTGAGCAGGTTCACGGTGATAGCACGCTGAATGAAGGGGTAAGCGACTCCCAGAAGAAGTTCTTATTTACTCATTTCAGACATGCAGGAGCAAAACAAACTGTTCCTCTTCTTACTCTCAATTTCAATTAACAACAACAAAAAAAACAGCCTCAGTGGAGAATCAGAGCACAAGCTGAAACAAGTAAGTGTAAACTCTTAGTTAGCTGTGCTAATTAGGGAGAGAAGGACATGAATAATTAAAAAAAAGAACAACCAAAAAAAAACCCCACCTAAACTTAATTCTTACATTAAGCAAGGTTCCAACCTCTATTCCACTAAACCTCTTCCTAGAGTTAGCTGTTATCCCTTACTCCCTAAGGTTAGGTAAGCTTTGGGTCAGAAAGCTTGTCCCCCGGTCTCTCCCTCCAGCTGGTTAAGAAACATCTCGGAGCCACAGTGGGGCTGGCCAGCTCCCAAAGGATGCCTCACTAACCTCTGTATCCTCTCTTCCTAGAACAACAACTGGCTTCTCATGGATATTCAGCAAATGTTTGTGCAATTGACGTAAAATGATGCCTAACAAATATGTTCAATTTCTGTCCAGTGTGAACCTGAACTCCTGACAGTCACATTCTCACCAGGTTGCACACATCTGGGGACCCCCTGCCATGCACATTTGTGTTCCAGAGATTGTGATTGACCACAGAACACACAGAACTGCCCCCGACCCCCAGGGGTTTGTAAGACTGCCATGCTACCCCAACCCTTCCAGTTTTATTAACCAGGAAAAAAATTAAGCAACATTGGAACACTAAGTGTGCATGACCTATTTATCAAACAATCAAACATTTACTAAGTGCCTGCTAGCCTGCATAGAATAGAAATCCTTGTCTACAAAGACCGTGTTAATGAGTTGAGGAATTCAGGCATATGATGAAAAGGTAACTAACAAATGGAGGCAGCATGTGATGAATGCCAAATCAACGAGACAGCTGCTGATAAATGCCATGAGACACGAAGGAGGGAGCCAAGGCCTCGGCTGGGGACACCAGACTTAGAAGGGTCTGAAGCCCTAGACCAGCAACAAAAGTCTAGTTGAGGCAGAAGGAGCCTCCACTCACGTGGTTTAAAGATCTGAACTAATTACAATAGGATTTTCTGCTTCTCTTCTGATGAGGCTGATAGCACACAGGTCAAAAGCAAAGCAGCAGGAGAAGCAAAGGGAAAAAAAAAAAACCTCTGTGAGCAACATACAAATGCCAGGTGGCTGCACTACACAGGTTTTGGCCCAGCTCAGACTGATATTTGGGACACAAGCACCTGTCAACAGGAGGCCTGAACATATTCTCAATTTGCAAACGCGTTATTTGAACCATGCCTACAGACACCTCCAAATGAGCTGGGCAAACAAACGAACACTAGAGTGCCCATCTCCCGCATGTCTACGACCCCAGTCATTGTTCAGAGTCGGCGGAGGGCACTGTGATCTTCTGGCAGCGGGTCTCATTTCCTGATCATGTTTTGCTGCAGCTAGCAGCAATGACTCTGCGTTCCCTGAGCACATATGCGCCGACAGATGGTGTAAGAGGACCAGAATCACGTTAACTGCTTCAGAAAAGCTAGTTTGGAATGCAAATGTAGTCTGGAGGAGAGTTAAACAGGGAAAAGCAGGAAGTGTGTCTCTGTAGTCTGACTGCCACACACAGAATGAAATGTATTCCTAGGCGGTCAAACTACCACGGAAATCCCCTACCAGCCTCCTCCCAGAGTGCCCTGGATGTCACACTGTGTACTTACGTGTCTTAGCACTAGAGGATGGACTCCCTGAGAGTGGAGGAAAACGTCCTATTTCTCTTTAGACACATGTCACCCGGCACCATCAGTGCTTGAGAAATGTGTGAGATGGGAATTAACAAGTTAATGGATAAACAGGGACTTCCCTGGCGGTCCAGTGGTTAAGACTCCATGCTTCCAATGCAGAAGGCATGGGTTTGATCCCTGGTCAGGGAGCTAAGATCTTTTGGCATGGCCAAAAGGAAAAAAAAAATACAAGCTACAGAAAAATTAATGGATAAATAAATGATGACATGAATGTGGGAAGCAGGTGCCCTCTGACTGTCCTCCTCTTTACAAACATCAATCTGAACGTGGACACAGCATGCTGCATACAAAGAGGGCTTCTTCTGACTCCTGGCTCTAAGGTAGCCGCTGACCAGAGCTGCATGGACCAGAGAACAGCCGGGTGAATGGCAGAATGCCAGGACTTTGTTTCCCCCTGTTTCTTGGAGGCCAGGCTGCTCAGCACAAGTCCAGCTACCCACAAGGGAAAGAAACCAACTGTTAAGATCTCTTTTTTCAAACCACCCACCTCTCTGACTTGCTGCTGGTCCTGTTTCAAAAAGGAGTATAGGAAAAGAAGTCTTTCTTCCTTGCATTAAATGAGATGATTATAGAAGCCCTCTCCTGCTCCTCCAGCAATCTGTCTCATGAATTCAGCCCCAAAACAAGAAGTGAGAGCTAGTCTGCCCCAGCCTAATGTTGACAAAATTAACCTTGTCACAACTCGGACAAAAGTAATGAAAGAACTGGTTCTGATAACATCAGATTCATGAAGGCAGAGGTTACTAACTCTCGACATCTTTGCTTTTCAGAGGAATGTACTGAAAAGAATACAGAATGTAATTTAAAGACCTGAATGCCAGTCTTGCCTGTTACGAACAGAGCAGGGATCTAGAGCAAGGTACTTTACTTTCTGAGCCTCTGTTTCTCATCTATAAAGTGAAGCCATCAACCCCAAATGTCCTTTGCAGGTCTATCTGTAAAAACCCCAGAACCAAAGGTTATCATAGTAAAAGTCACCTGGTTATCAAATAGCATGTATTCCTGAAATTATTATTCATGTACTATTATTAATTATTATTCCTCATTCTATGAATAACTGTGTCACCCACAAAGCTAAGAAAGACAAACTGAACAGCCTGGCGACTCAGACGGTAAAGCGTCTGCCTACAATGTGGGAGACCTGGTCCGATCCCTGGGTCAGGAAGATCCTCTGAGGAAGGCAATGGCACCCACTCCAGTGCTCTTGCCTAGAAAATCCCATGGACGGAGGAGCCTGGTGGGCTACAGTCCATGGGGTCACAGAGAGTCGGACACAACTGAGCGACTTCACTTTCTTTTCACTTTCACTTCCCAGTAAATTTTTTAGTCATTATTAATTTATATTTTATAATATAGAGCTGCACTTTTTCAAATCAATAAGATTATTTCTTTTGTTCCTCTCTGAGATAGGAAGGGAAGATTCTCAGTCCCACTTTATAAACAAGAAAAGTTTAAATAATTTCCTTAGTCACAAATTGTGTGCTCAATAACCTAGTGAAACAAATAATCCACTTATAATCACAGAGTTAAATTTCTGGAAGAACAGTATGATGTTAAAAAGCTTCATCAAAAAATCCAGAAATTAATCATACTAAGTGAAGTAAGCCAAAGAGAGAAAGATAAATATTGTATGATATCACTGATACCTAGAATCTAAAAATGATACCAATGAACTTACAAGACAGAAACTGACTCACAGACACAGAAAACAAATTTATAGTTCCCAAAGCAGGAGCAGGGATAAACTAGGACTTTGGGATTAAAATACACACACTACTATGCATAAAATAAACAACCAGGACCAACGGCATAGCACAGGCAACTATACAGTAGGTCCCCTACATACAAACCTTCAAGCTGTGAAATTTCAAAGATGTGAAAATGCACGTGGTCCCAGCAAGGAACCAGAACCTGAGCCAGGAACGTCAGGCATGAATGAAACTGCAGCTCGCCCTCCGTCTCCTATTGCTGACGATCCTCCAGCTCACCGTCCCACCTCCTCCCCCTCCTCCAGTCAGCAACTCTCCTTGCCCGTTCACTCGATGCCAGCCCCTGTATGCCAGCTGTTGTGATGTACTACTGTACTTTTCAAAGTAACTAAACTATAAGACTTAAAATATTTTCTTCATTTTTGTGTTTGCTTTTTATGTATTGTTCGTAGGAAAAGTGTTATAGACCTACTACAATACAGTGCTATATAGCCGATTATGTTAGTTGGGTATACCAAGGCTAACTTTGATGGACTTAGGAATGCTCTCAGAATGTGCAACTTGTTCATATGTAGGGGCCCTACTGTACTCACTATTTTATAACAACCTATAATGGAAGAGAATATAAAAAAGAATATATATAGATTTATATATGTGCATATATGTATAACTGACCACTCTGCCGTACACCTGAAACTAACACAACCTTGTAAGTCAATCAACTGTATTTCAATAACATTTCTTTAAGGCTCCATGGAGACACTTACTTCAGCTCGTTGGTTTCCACGCCCTGGGCGATAGCCATGATGATGCCGCCATGGTCCCCCCATGTGTAGTAGTGAGGTCCGGAAAGAGCCTGGAGAGAGAGACAGCAAGTCACGACTCATGCCACTGCCAGGGAGGTGGCCAGGAAGAAGAGTGCACACCTTAGACACATGCACACACACAGCAGGGGTGTCACCACCTGAATACAAACGTCCATTCCCAGAGCACGTCACAGCCATTATCCCACCTGCTCCACAGAGCCCCGGGAGGAGCAGAGCAAGTCCTCACATTCCAGTTTTTTAATTTCATTTATATATGCCCAGCTGCACCGGATCCCCGCTGCTGCACGTGGGCTTTCCCTAGTTGCGGTGAGCGGCGGGGTTACTCTCTAGTTGTGGCGGGTGGGCTTCTCATTGGGGTGGCATGTGGGCTCAACAGTTGTGGTGCACAGGCTTAAGTTGCCCCAGGGCCTATGGAATCTTCCTGGACCAGGGATTGAACCTGGGTCCCCTGCACTGGATGGTGGATTCTTAACCAGTAGACCCATCAGAGAAGTCCCCAATTTTTTTTGCCAAGTGTAAAAAACTAGAGTTTCTATTAAAAGTGGCAGACTATGAACAGCAAAGAATCAAACTCCAATCTCTGAACTTCACCAAGCTGTGATTAAAAATTAACCAACTAGGGACTTCTCTGGTGGTCCAGTGGTTAAGGATCTGCCTTCCAATGCAGAGGACACAGGTTGGATTCCTGATCAGGGAACTAAGATCCTACACGCTAAGGGCAACTAAGCCCATGAGCCACAACTAGTGAGCCTGCACACTCTAGAGCCTGTGAGCCTCAATGAGACCCAGCACAGCCCCCCAAAAAACAAAGAATTAACCGACTGGAATTCTGGTTCTACTGTGACAGAACAAGCCCACTACAGCCCATCTTTCCTACTAATTACAAATAAAAGCCTTTGGACAAAACAGAAAAAGACAGCTACCTGAGGATGCTGAAAAGTAAAAAAATCAGGCAGCTTGTGAAGGGGACTGAAAACCTGGAGAAGCTACCCACATGACTGAGGCTTCCTGGTACACCCTTGCCCCAAGGGAATGCCCCAGCCTAGGATACCGCAGTCCCAGGCAGGTGGCTAACGTTTTATAGAAACTTTCTGCTTAAGCAGACAGGAAAATAAGCTCCTGCAGGATGGAGAGAATGTAGATGGAATCCCAGAGCGGGGAGTCTGAGGAAGTAAACCCTCTAATTCTGTGTATAGACTCAGATTTCAGCCTGACCCCTAAGCTGTACGTGTGTGGAACAGACCCAAACCAGCACAGAAAAGACTCAGCAACCTGAACTGAGGTTTCCACAGAACGCAAGACGGAACTTACAGTCCGGATCTGAATAGGTTCATTACATGCTAAAACAAAAATTGCCACATCCTCCAGAAGATTTCATTTTGAGTCTGAGATACAATCCAAAAATCACTCAACATACATAAAGATCAGGAAAATGTCTCCAATCCTCCAGGGAAAAGACAATCAATGGGTGCCAAGCTCAAGATGATCCAAAGGCTGGAATTACCAAATGGTATAAAACAGTCATAACTGTGTTTCATAACGTAAAGGAAAACACACCTGAAATGAGCAAAAGATAAGAATTCTTCCCAGAGAAGTGGAAACTACTTTTTTTTTAAAAAAGGAAAAGAATTCTAGAACAGGAAAATAAAATGTTTGAAACAGGAAAGACACTGATGGGCTCAATGAGAGAATAGAAATGACAAAGGAATTAGTGAATTTAAACATGAATATAGAAGAGTAGAAATGATCTATTTTAAGAGCATACAGAATAAAAGACTTAAAAGAGAAAACCCCAAAGACTTGTGGGCCAAAAGGTCTAACAGGTATAATTGGAGGCCATGATGAACAGGAGAAAGGAGCCGAAGCAGAAAAAATACTTGAAGAAATAATGGCCGAAAATTCCCCAAATTTGATGAAAGAGATAAATTTATAGATTCAAGGTAAGTGTCCCCCAAAAACACTAAGCACAAAGAAAATTATACCTAGAAACATCATAACAAAACTGCTGAAAACCAAAGATAAGGAAACAATATCAAAGCATCTTAAGAAAAATGACATGGTACATACATGAAAACGGTAACCAATGATTATAGATTTCACATCAGAAGAGAGCACGTCTTCAAAGCACAGAGGCACCTCAGAGATACTGTAGGTTCAGTTCCAGGCCACCACAAAGACACAAACCACCATGAAGCAAATCACATAGTTTTTTGGTTTCTTAGTGCTTATTAAAGTTATGTTTGCACTAAACTACAGTCTAGTAAGTGTACAATAGCATTATGTCTAAATAAAACAATGTACATACTTTAATTTTAAAATGTTTTATTGCTCAATGGAGTAGAACAGAAAGACTTAAAATAGACTCACACATATATGGCCAACTGATTTTCAAACAGGCACCAAGGCAATTCAATGGAGGAAAGAGAAGTCTTTCCATCAGGGGATACTGGACCAACTGAATGTCTACAAGGAAAAATGAGTATCAACCCTTCACTCATACCAGATACACAGATTAACACAAAATAGATCATAAACCTAAACCTAAAGCCTAAAACTATAAAACCTGTAGAAGAATAAATAGGGGACAATCTCTGCAACCATGGAAAGGACAAACATCTCTCAGAACAACAAAGACCATAAAACACTGAAGAAAAGAATTGATAAATTAGACTTCATCAAAAGTAAAAACATCGAGTCTTCAAAAGACACCATGAAGAAAATTTTAAAAAACAAGCCACAGACTGAGAAGATATTTGTAACACACATAAAAAAACTTAAATCCAGAATTTTTTTTTTCAGAAAAACCTCTTACAGCTCAATAAGACAACCTAATTCTTTAAAATAGGTAAAATATCTGAACAGACACTTCAAAAAAGAAGATCTTTTAAATGGCCAATGAGCACATGTAAAGAAGTTCAACATCATTAGTCAGAGAAATGCCAATTAAAGCTACAATGAGATATCAAATGCACTTATTAAAATGCCTAAAATTTAAAATGCTGACCTTATCAAGGGTTGGCAAGCATCTGAAGCAATCAGAACTCACACACTGCTGGTGGAAATGTGAAACAGTACATCCACTTTGGAATACAATTTGATATTTTAAAACACTTTGGTAATTCCTTTAAAAGTTAAACATATACCAATTAGATTGCCCACTCTTTTCTTTCTGCAGTATCTAACCAAGAGAAATTAAATATATATATACACCTAAAAAACATGTAATTAAATGTTTGTAACAACTACACTGTAATCAGCAGAAACGAGAATGTCCATCAACTGACAAATGGATAAAGAAATTGTGGAATATCCCCACAATGGGATAGTAATCAACAATAAAAAAGGAAAGAACCGCTGATAAATGAAACAACATGAAAGAACCTCAAAATCCTCACAGCGAGAGCTAGCAGCCAGGCCAAAAGACCGCACAGTGTATGAGCCCATTTACACAGAATTCTAGAAAATGTTAATAATCTGGAGGAATGAGGGGAGAGAGAGGGATGAATCACAGAGGAGACATAAAGATACTTTGGTGGGGCGATGAAGCGGTCTTAATTGTGGTGTGTTGGTGAAGATGTAGTGAGGGTGATCAATTCTGATCAAATTATATACTTCAAATACGTGCAGTTTATTGTACCTCTATATGCCTCAATAAAGTTGTTGTTTTTTAAGAAACTATGAATCTGAGGTTTTGCCCACCTAACTAGCAGTATAAACAGAAGGGGAACAAGAATTCTAGTCATCAGTTTTCTAGGCAGCATCTGTCAACGGCATCCCATTTCTTCTTCCCGGGCCACCATCAATCCCCTTCACACATTCAAGACTGTCCCTCTTAAGAGAAGGCTGCCCAAGGGGACTCAGATGTCCCCTCACCCAGACACTCAATCTTTTCATCCCTTCATTAGTTCTCTGCTAGATCCAAAAACATGGTCCCTTGTGGGATGGCCACCTCTTGGCAGGCAGGGAGCGTGCCGGGCGGGAGGCACTGACAGCGGCTCCCACATCAGCCAGAGGACCCCACTTCCCTGCAGGAGGAACGAGACACCGCTTTCTCCCCAGAAGGAAATCACTTGCAGATGTTCAAATTCCAGGTTACACCAACATCAGAAGGTACAAACCAACCACAAGCCTTTCCGCAGAGGAAAGAACACCCAATTTCAAAAGGAATGTCCGGCTCCAGGGGAGAGGAAAACCACTGCTTAATCGCTCCCATGGGGATGGGACGAGGATGCCCCCAAAATTCCAAACTGTTCACACGTTTTTGACTACTCTGAACTTTACAGTTTCCTTCATCCAAATACAGAATTATGTTCTCTACCATGCTGTAAAGTGTATCTCTGTCTCTCTTTCTCCCTCTCTCTCTCTCTCTCTCTCTCTCTCTCACACACACACACACACACACACACACACACACACGATGTCTGGGTCCTACATCTCTCAGCTGGAGGAATGGTGAGCCCTACCCCAAATGAGATAAGGTAGGTGCAGGTCTGTAAACTGCAAAGACCCAAATAAATGTTGGATATGATTTCCGCTTCACATACGGAGTATTCCTCTATGAAAGTGCACAAGCTGCGTTCCCAGGAAAGGCACTGTGAGGATGGGAGCTGTCTACTGGCTCTGCTTGACAACCCCTCAGCCTTCCTGAGGCCACGCCCGGCTGGCGGGAGATCTGGGGGGTTCTACCCCTGCAGCTCCCCACATGCACAGCAGAGCGTCGCTGACAGCAGCACCTACAGAACGAGACCAGATGCCTGTCTCCCTGGTGAGGGAAAAAATGCTTTTTTGTTTTACAAGTTTGGAAATTCTCTAATGTCCAAGGCTGAGTTAGCATTGTGGGACTAGAGTACTAGCCCTTCAGAACTGGTATAATCGATTTCCTGAGAATCCAAACTGAGTCACACGAACTTAAGGCAGACACAGCGTCCCTCCACAGCACAGAATGTGCATAGCACAGAACGAGATGAAGGACCAGTGATGGGGGGACGGGCTTGACTTAAACCTTCCACAGCACGCAAAGAAAAGGAAGTAACGAGGTTCCGATGTGATACCACTACATTACAATCTGCTGATGGATGCAGCAAACCCTTACTGAGCACCCTGTGTCCACACTAGACTCTGTTAGTCCCAGGGCTAAAGGAGTGACAAGACAGACAGCACTTCATCCTCATGGAACTTGTCATCTTGGAATGTTTACACAAATTCACAGTTTGTTTTTTTTTTAAGTCTGTTTTTGATTCAAAGTAACATTTTTAGCAAAATCACGAGCCCACATTATGGAGTGCAATAACAAATCAGTGCAGCTGACCCTGTGTGTGGCTCCGGGTACCTCTCTAAATTTCATAATCACACTTGGCTTTGTGGGCCCCCCACCACAGGCCATGTGTGCCCCTGACACATTAAGACATGGCCCACGTTCTCACACTAACAAGAACAGGGGTGTGGGAGGAGGGAGCTGACCTCTCGCCACCGGGCTCCAGCACTGCTGGAGATATACACGTTGGTCTTGCTTGCCAGGTTCTTCCCCACCGAACCTAAAATGCAAGAAGAGCAATTATTCCTAAGGTCAAGAATACATCAGTTTATCACCCGGCCCAACCAGAACTGCTGAGTCCTCTAGCAACCAGGACATCTCAGGACCACGAACAGTCAGGGTTGCCCTAGGTGGCGGGGGTCCCTGTATATGCGGCTGCACGTAAGCCAGCAGCTAAACCCATCAGTGACGACAGGCAAAGTCAACTCACCAGTGGCAATGATGAGCCCGGGCGCTGACTCCTTGGACAGGATGGGCATCCTCCGAAGCTGGAGGCTCAGCAGCTGGCTGAGCCGCTGGGCCAGGTGGAGGGAGCAGCCCTGGGAGAGCTGCAACACAAGTTCAGCTGTTGTCATCTCGTGATATGCCCCCAGTCTCCCTCTAAAGGCCGAGGCTTCCTGTGCCCACACTGCAGTTGGCACAAAGGAAGAAGACTTGGCCCAAAGGAGACCAACCACAGCCAGGCTGTCCCCACCCTCACCCCAGATGGACATGATCATCTGCACCACGTAAATGCCACTCATGGGAGAAAAGAGAAAAATACTAAGGAAAAAAAAACTCCTTCTGAGACTCTCAGAGAACAGCAGTTAGAAATCAGAGCTATATATAAACAGGTAGTCTCAGTTCAGTTCAGTTGCTCAGTCGTGTCCGACTCTTTGTGACCCCATGGACTGCAGCACGCCAGGCCTCCCCGTCCATCATCAACCTACAAGGAAGTATTGTATAGCATGGAGAACTATACTCAGTGCCAAAAGGGGAAAAGAATCTAAGAGTAGACACAGGTATATATCTGTGTATGTATGCGTAACTGAATCACTTTGCTGTATGCCTGAAACTAACACAACATTGTAAATCAACTGTAATTCAATGCAAATTTTGAAAGAAAGAAGTCAATGCAAACTTAAGTAGATGTGAAAGCTATCCCTCTCTCCGTGTTACCCAGCACTTCTCTTATGTCACTCAGAGAAACGAAATGATTTCATGGTACTTGTCTTCTAAGTCACTGGAGATGCATTTCAAATATGGTTAAGCAACTCAGTCACAAGGAAAACCAAGACTCAAAAGTCAGAAAGTCTTACTGATACACTTCCAGATGTACAACATATGAGATAAAACACCACAAGATCCACATGAAATTTTTTTAAGTAGTCTTCATTTGTACAGAAAGTCTTCAGGTGTCCTCTGCAAGACTTGAAGTTATTCCAACTGGGCTCCAGGACTTATGTTCAAATTTCAATAGTTCTGCAAACAAGGTCTTTTGCTATAGGATCACGTGATGCCCAATTCTCCAGCCAGAAAATGACTGTCAAATGTTACTTAGCCTCGTCTAGTATTCTAGATAGGGTATCTCTATTTGTGCTTATTTTACAGGTCAAAACTGACATGATTTGCTAGATATACTTACTTTTATAACAAAAGGATTTCTCTAACGAATATCTGTCTTAAAATAAGGGGGGGGGGACCCTTCCTGGTGGTCCGGTGTTTAACACTCTGCACTTCCAATGCAGGTGCATGCATCTGATTCCTGGTCAGGGAACTGGATCCCACATGTCACAACTGAGACTTAGCACAGACAAAAAAATAAATTTTTCTAAAAGAAAAAGAAAATGGAAGTGTAGAGCATCATATAAAGCCAGGGATCACAGTCACTGACTTCTTTCCAGGAAAAAGGTAGGGGCTGCTTGGGTGAATGGGAACCCTGAATGAGGCCAAATAACACATTTGAGGATTGTGAGCTTTTTAGATGAAGTCACATGTAAGGAAAACGGTAGAATCCTAAGTTATATTCAGGAAAGAATTTTATAAGACATTCCTCAGAAATAGTAACTTCTGGCACAGGTTCCCAAACTTTCTAGGTTCCCAACACAACCAGTGTCTCAGTAAATTATTTTTATAACACCCTCAGATCAGAAGAAATACTAATATTTGTTTTTTACCACAGTTAAGTCCAAACAACCTAATAAGTACATGTCCTAATAATTTAGCAGCAGCAGTTTGAAATAATACTGTATGTGTTTATATCTAAGTTGGAAAAAAAACATAAAACTTTTATCTCATCCTTAAATAACCACAATTACTTAATAATAGGATGTAGAAACCTGTTAGGCACTGCACAGCTTCTCAAACTTCAGAATCTAAGCAGATACCACTACTACCATTTCCTAAACCAGACCGATTTTCTTACTTGCTTTTGATCATGTAAACTGCCAAGCAAGAGTCCAGCTTCACAAAGATATGTCATCCAAAGACATATAGCACGAGCTAATGTTGAAACTATGAACTAACCCGAGAGTAAATTCACATGGTGACCAACAGACGTCAAGCACCCTTCAAAAACTTAAAATACCCCATGGTGCCCCTGCAAGTTCATTACAGCACCCCAAGATAACTCGGTGCAGAGTTTCAGAACAGTAAGAGTAGAACTGCAGTTATAAGTGTTTTTAAACAATCCAAACAAGAGCGTAGCATCTATACCTCACAATTGATCTTCTCTCCATATTCGGTGAAGGCTGGGGCCTGAAGGAATTCCCAGGTCCCGCCTTTGTCAAAGGTGATAACAGATCTCATGTTCTCCTCATTCATGGAGCCACTGATGAGCGTGGCGATGTAGACCCCCTGTAAGCCCTCCACTCGATGGAAGTCAGCAAATGGCTCACTGGCAAAATACCTACAATAAGAAAAAATAAACAGTGTGATTTGCTAGGGATATTTTTATTTTAGATAACAAAATTTAACCACTTTTTAAGATTTTTTTTTAATGTGGACAATTTTTAAAGTCTTGATTGACTCTTACAATATTGCTTCTGTTTTACGTTTTGGCTTTTTAAAGGTCGCAAGAGATGTGGGATCTCAGCTCCCCGACCAGGGACTGAAACTGCATGTTCCCTGCATTGGAAGGCAAAGTCTCAAGCCCTGGACCACCAAGGAAGTCCCCACAAAATTTAACCATTTTAAAAAAGATTCACTGGCATTAAGTATCTTCCTAATGTTACGCAACCGTCATCACTATGTAGTCCCAGAACACTTCTATCATCCCAAAGGGAAACCCTGTACCCCCTGGTAGTCACACCCCACTTTCCCTTTCCATTCCAGATGCTGGCAACCACAATCAGTTTTGTCTCTATTTGTTGTTGCTGTTCAGTTGCTAAGTCTAGTCCAACTCTTTGTGACCTCATGGACTGCAGCATGCCAAGCTTCCCTGTCCTTCACTATCTCCCGAGTTTGCTCAGACTCATGTCCAAATTGAGTCAGTGATGCTATCCAGCCGTCTCATCCTCTGTTGCCCGCTTCTCCTCCTGCCCTCAATCTTTCCCAGCATCAGGGTCTTTTCCAAAGAGTCAGCTCTTTGCATCAGGTGGCCAAAGTATTGGAGATTCAGCATCAGTGCTTCCAATGAATATTCAGGACTCATTTCCTTTAAGATAGACTGGTTTGATCTCCCTGCAGTCCAAGGGACTCTCAAGAGTTTTTGCCAGTACCACAGCTTGAAAGCATCTTTACCACTCAGCCTTCTTTATGGTCCAACTCTCACATCCATACACAACTACTGGAAAAACCATATCTTGGACTTGCCTATTCTGGACATTTAATATAAATATAATTATATAATTATACCTTTTGTATCTGGTTACTTTCCCTTGCTATAATGTTTTCAAGGTTCATCCATGTTGTATCAGTACTGTATTCCTTCCTGTGGCTGAATAAACTGGCTTTTTTTTTTAAGTGATTTTTTTTTTTTTAACTTTGCAGGCCAAGGTGCTCATCTGACCAATTACTCCTCACATGGGGTTCAGAATGATGAATATAACACAGAAAAGTTGATGTGAGAGTTACATTTATTTCTCCACTAACAATATTGACCCCAAATCCTCCAGTGAGCCCAGATCAACAGGAAACAATAAACCAAACTCACCAGATACTAATTATACTACTGGCCTGTTCACAATAGCCCAAGACATGAAAACAACCTAAATGTCCATCAACAGATGAATGGATAAAGAAGATGTGGTACATATATACAATGGAATACTACGTGGCCATAAAAAAGGAATGAAATAATGTCATCTCCAGCAATATGGATGGACCCAGAGATGATCATAAGCAAAGTAAGTTAGAAAGAGAATGACAAATAGCACTTGCATGTGGAATCTAAAATATGACACAAACAAACCTATCTATGACATAAAGATAGACTCACAGACATGGAAAAGAGACCTGTGGCTGCTGACAAGGATGGGATAGAAAAGGATTGACAGTTCGGGGTTAGCAGATGCAAACTATTTTATATATAGGCTGGATAAACAACAAAGATCTAACTGTATAGCACAGTGAACTATATTCAATATACTGTAAGAAACTATAATGGAAAAGAATATGTGTGTGTGTGTTTGTGTGTGTGTGTGTGTGTATAAATGAATCTTTCTGTCATAGAGCAGAAATTAAGACAACACTATAAATCAACTAGACTTCAATTAAAAAAAAAAAATAGTGTAGTGCTGGGGCTTACAATTTAACCCAGTCTACAGAAATATAGCTAAGGGGTTACACTGTCCAGATACTTACAACTAATTAGCCAACACCCTGATCAGACAGAAGCCCATAGGATTTGTCAGGGAACAGAGCAGAAGCCTTCCCAAAGACACAGTACATCCAACAAGGATGGCTCTGGAAACCTTGAGGTTATGCTTATTAACAGGGAAACAGAGACAAAGACCTCCCTGACCTTAACTGCTATGCCCAGATCCTGCAACTTCCCTGAGCAGTAGTTTTGCACTAACATGGTACACGTTCTAAGGACAGATCCCCAAGAAAGAGTAGCCACAGTTCACAGGTGGCTTTTAAAACTGGAAGCATGTCCTTTACTTGGAGAGTTCTGAGCCACCGGGCTTTGTTAATAAAAACAAACAAAACACACAGAACTGCACTTTCCTGTTATCTGTCACATAAATCTGAAGCAGGAAGACTGTTTCTCCAGATGAGACAGAAAGATGCACACACAAGTGGCAGGGCCACCCCACCGGAGAGACAGAGCAGGTCCTCCAGAAATCACCGGTGCTGAGACCAAATGTTCTGACACTGGTTTCCTTAGTTCCACTTTACTTGGTTTTCAGTTGCTTCCGTAGGAATCAGCCCAGGTCTGTTACCCACCTTGCCCTCTATTCACACGACTCTCCTGCTTGTGATCCTATTATGAGGGTCACCACCGGCTTCTTCCAATTTATCTGGGAGGTCTGAGTTTCTCTCATCTCGAGGAGCCCTCACTAGAGTGAGTAGCCATTCCCTCCACCAGGGGATCTTTTCGACCCAGGGATTGAACCCACAGCTCCTACATTACAGGTGGGTCTTTTACCATCTGAGCCATCAGGAAGCCTCTGACCATTTCCATCATCTCCATTGCTACTGCTCCAGGTCCAGCCAACCTCAACCTCCAGTGGCCCAAATTTCAGGAGTGATCTCACAGCTGGACCCCCCAGTTTGCGAGTCTGCTAATTTCCACACAGCATCTAGCATGGCTTCTTTAAAAGATAAGTCACATGAGTATCTACTGAAAATAATCTATGACACTGCCCATTTATGTTTTAAGCACTTTTCTTTACATAATGTGATTCACATTTTTAAAATGGTGTCCAAAAAATGTAACAGGCTAAATCAAATGATGTCCCCCTTCTGGTCAAAACCCTCCATCATGCTTAGGAGAAAAAAAAAAAAAGAGAGATCTTGCTATGCTTTTGAGGGCCCTGTGCAATCAATCTAAACCCTGCTTTCTTGGTTCCTGTGTCTTAGGGATGCTCTCTCCAGTCCATCAACTGGTTGATCCACCCTGGCCTCCACACTGCTCTTAAACCACTCAAGTCCCACTCCAGAGCCCCTGTGCCTACTGTTCCTCGACCTGTAAGGCTCCTCCCCAGGTGATGTGCCCAGCTCCCTCTCCTGTGTAATTCAGGCACGTGCTCAAACATCATCCTCCTAGAACAGCCTTCCATGACAGGCTCATATAAAGCAATGCCCTTGTAACCCTCTGTCCTCTTATCTCACTCTATTTTTCTTCTCAGCACTCAGCATTATCGGCAGAGCATGTATTTGTTTCTATTTTGTCTTCCCACAATTAGAACAAAAGCGCCATAGATCAGGGAGCTTGTTCCAAGTTCTCCTTGCTGGACACACAATACTGCATGGCTGTACGTGCAAAGCCTCCAGGCACTGACAGCAGCATCCTTGCTGAATGAACTGGCAACTTGCAGAGGGACAGTGGGCAGCAAGGACATGCCCTCTGACCTGAGGTTCATGGCGCTGGAGCCAGCCCTCACTGCAGACCAGCCAGTTCTGCCAGCTGGCTCCTCCCAAGAGCAGAGAGCAGCCTTAATCACAGTGAGACGCACACAAGAATGGTCTGTCACAGACAAAGGAGAGTCAATGACCTCGCGCCACTGATGGGTCACAGAGCCACCCGGCGGCATGGCATCCACCCCTTTGCAGTCCTGGACTCCTCCATGGTCCCGAGAACACTGTTACAGCAGGCCCGCTCCAGGCATGTGACGTACTGATAAAGGACCTTTCCACAGATACCACAGAACAATACCTTGCAATTACGGGGGCGGGAGTAAAAGAATAATGATGTTAATTAACCAGAGTCACGTGGAGGAAGGGCCTTGTAGACACACACGCCAACTGGCCCAGAGGTGGTGGTGACGTTTTGCCAGTGCTCTTTCTCACTGGGTCTGAGACCAAAAAACCAAGTAACCGAATGAAGGAACCCCAAAGGAGTGGCTGACACAGTGGCAGTGATCCTAAGGGTCACCCAGCGCAGCGGTGCTCAACCTCTGCACCAGGGGACTTCCCTGGTGGTCCAGTGGTTAAGAATCCTCCTGCCAATGCAGGGGACACCGGTTCGATCCCTGGTCTGGGAGGATCCCACATGCCTCGGGGCAATTAAGCCTATGCGCCACAACTACTAAGCGTGTGCTCTAGATAGAGCCGGTGCTCCGAAACAAGAGAAAGCCACCACAATGAGAAGTCCGTGCACCGCAACTAGAGAGGCGCCCCCACTCTCCGTAACTGGAGAAAGCCCGGCAGCAGCAACGAAGACCTGGTGCAAAGATGGATTAGTTAAAGTTGTTCCAAAAATTAAAAAAGAAGATCCTCGAGTGCCTGTCACACCTCAAACCAGATAAAAAACGTAATGTCTGGGAAGGTGAACCAGTAATCACTGGGGCTTCTGAAACCACCCCCAGGGGAGCCCAAATGCTCAGCGGATGTTGAAAACCACCCGACAAGAGGCTGTGCCGGGTAGGAAAGCAGGCAGCGGCCCCGCCTACCGGGCTCCTTACCTCACCAAGGTGTCACTGCCTGCCCCCGCTGGGCTGTAATAGAGCACATTCTCCAAGGACAGTGAGAACTTCAGCCCGTCTGCCTCCGAGATATACAGGTTGGTGCGGTTGTTACTGTGGCTTACACACACGAACACCTGGTCCTCGGAGGCGTCGGCGATGTAATATTCCTTTGGCAACAAAAAATCAAAAAGACACAAGTCAAAAAAACACATACACCCTATGGAAGGTCCCTATGCACACACAAGCCCAGGCTTCCCAGTGTCCCAGTGAGGAGGGCAGTCTTGGAGCCCACGAAAGCCTCCCCATCTTGGGAAAGAAGCTTGGCTGACTCTCTTCAGAGACCCTGAGGCTGTCCTGCGGCTGGAGCAGACTCCTTATCGGCAGATGGGGCACAAAATAAGAATGGGCCTTGAACTTCAAAAACGACCTAGAAATCACTTTTACGTAATGATGTCTCCCTATCGTTACTCAAAGCATAATGCAAATTAATGTGCATTTCCTTCCCTCTCATTTCCTCTAAGATGACTACAGCAAGGCAGAACCCAGAGAAGGCGAGGAACTGACAAACATGTTCTCCATCACATACTCCTCTGAGCTACTAATCTTCCATCGCACCACGCCCTGGCATCAAGGCCTTCAAATGCCACCTCCTCCCCACGGTCACTTCTCTGATGACCCAGCTCTCACTGACCTTTCCTATGGTTCTCTACGTCCTGACTCACGCTCCACAGTCAAGCCTTTGACTGCACATGGCTTCTTCCTCTGCTCTGTTCTTGGACCCTCCAGCCCATCTGTTTCTAAAAGGGTGAGGCTCCAATCCTGTCCCCTTATGGAAGGAACCTCGCCATCTGTGAGCAACACAGCAGGTACTTAATGAATAACTGCTGCTGTCCCTACCCTCCCATTCCTTCAGCACGGGACACTGAGCCCATTGACTCTGGCTCCAAACCTCTCTGCCAATCCTTCTCCACTTCAAGCAAATTAAGGCTCCCATTCAGCTCCACTTCAAAAAGTGAAGAGGGAAAAAAACAGACCAAGATGCCCAAAGCATAGAGACTAATCTAGAAAGTGACTCCAGGGAGCCTCCATCAAATATCCTCCCCCCATCACCCTCCCCCTGACCTCTGCCTGAGGACAAGAGCACTCCTCCCCACCCCCCCACCACAGACCCCACTCACATTAATAGGATGTCTTGTGACAAACTGGGCTGCTCGCATGGGCTTCCGGCCAAAGGAGACCCAGAGCTGGACAGAGGATGGTTGTGGACTGCCGAAGAGATGCTGCCAAGGAAGAGGAGGAGAAAAAGATCAACTGTACCATACGATAATCATTCAGAACAAGTGTAAAAGGAAGCAGAAAAGTCAGATCCCTCTGATTCTACTAAAAACACTAAATAGGATGACCCAAACGCACATTTTGCAACGTTTGCCGTCAGTGAGCAGCTTGGGCTATACCACTATATCCTAGATACCTGGTCTGCAGTAGATGTAGACACTCCAGGCACTACATCAAGAGAAAGGACGAAGTGTGAAGGGAGAACTTGAGCTTGGGCGGGGGCGGAAAGCTTAAACAGAGAGCGAAAGGGAGACGGGCTGTGTGATGAGGCTGGAGAGACAAGCTGGATGGACATACAGCCCCCAAACCACCAGAGGGTGAGGTCCGCCACACACCTGACATGCATACAAAACATCCTCTTCCCCTTTCTACTATTTCTAGATCACAAGGATCCCCCAGTCACAGGGCTTTCATTTTTACCAACAGTTGAGGGAGTTGTCACTGATTCTATTTTTCAGTCTTTTAATCCTTCTCATTGATTAGGGTCTTTTGCTACAATATGTTTTCTTTGGTAGAGACAGAGTACTCCATGGGATGCCGACCATGCACGTGATGCTGATCACACTGTGTTTCAGGGATATTAATCACAGCTGGGAGCTTGCTCATGTGTGTAAAAGCACTAGATTCAGAGTTAGCTCTCAATTTCTCTAGGTTCCAATTTCTGTGTGTTTAGTTGCTCAGTCGTGTTGCTTTGCGACCCCATGGACTGCAGCCCACCAGGCTCCGCTGTCCATGGGGATTCTCTAAGCAAGAAAACTGGAGTGGGTTTCCATTCCCTGCTCCAGGGAATCTTCCCAACCCAGGGATCAAACCCAGGTCCCCCAGATTGCAGGCGGATTGTTTACCATCTGAGCCACCAGGGAAGCCTAGGTTCCAATGTATCCCTCTATAAATTGAGCAGTTGATTTGAATGAGGACTTTGGGTATGGGTTTAAATGATCTAGGAACCCCATAAATATATATGCAAATTTTCTGTGTGGATGCACTCACTTACTTTGCTAGGGAGGATATATACATTTTAGAAGTTTCTCAAAAGGGCCAGTGATCCAAAAAAGAGTAAGAAACACTGCAAAGGCTCCATGTGTCTCTTTCCAGTTCTCCAAGTCTGTGACTGGGAACTGGAGGCCAATACTGCATGCCTAGGAGAACAGACAGGGAGGTCCAACCTCGTGTGGACATCCTCATGGACATGACTATCATCCAACCTGAACGTCGGGATCCCCAGCCAGAAACAGTGAGTTTGGCTTCACTTATCCTCGACTATGCTGCTACTGTTTCTTACAGATTTTTAACTCCTACAGAGTACAGAAGATTTCAAGTTTTCTTTTTTTTTTGATGTCACGTTTTCTTGACTGTATTATGACAACTGCTAAATACTCTATGCTCATGTATGTCTAACAAATTCTGTGAAGAGCAAGCTGATGAACGTGGAGTTGTTTTCTATTCACCTGAGCAGCTGAATGTATACACACACACACACACACATTTTTTCCAAACCACCACTTGACACTGGTTAAAAGTAGTTTGTTTTAAAGAAGCCAGGCAGAGAAGTACAGAAGACTGCCTTCCCAAAATGGCACCCTGAAAATTACATAATAGCCTGTCCTCAGTAGCGGGCTATAGAAATGATGGATTGCTTAAAAACACACACACACACACACAAACACAAAATGTATCACCCGAATGACAGAGTTCCCAAAATTGCTATGTATAACTTCCAAAAGCCCTCCTTAAGTCAATAAAGTTTTATAGCTAAGTATCAAGGTCAGATGATTTAAGCCACCCTATATAAATCCTTATGAATGTATATATAATTACACAGATACCAGTGAAACATTTTTTCATGCTTTAGGTTTTTTCACCACTTCCTACTGCAGTTATACCTGAGAAAGGAGCCATTTCTCTCAGTGACACTCAAGCCCATCGTTAGCTTTTGCTTGTTTGCTTCCTGGGTTTGTTTTGATCGGCTGTGCCACACAGCATGCAGGATCTTAGTTCCCCAACCAGGGATCAAACCCATGGCCCCTGTGTTGGAAGCACAGAGTCTTAACCACCAGACCAACAGGGAAGTCCAAGCCCATCACCAGTTAAATGTTCTTAAAGGTGATTGCTGGGAGACATGAGAATGGATAGCAAGATATAAATGCAAGAGTACTAAGGTCATGAAAAACCTCCAAATACATCCATCCCACTTTATTCTGGGAGAAGTATTCCTAAGTCTAGATAGTTAGGTTCACCTCTAAAGCATTCATAGACAAGTTAGTGTAATATTTTACCACCACCAAGAAAAGTATTAACAATAAAACTATGACACATTATAAACGGCAAGATGCATTTCTTAATAAACCATTGGTGATGCTGGATTTCTCGGCATTGTTATTGTAGAAGTAAAATACTGTATACTCATGAAAAATCCAACAGTACAGACAGCTATAAGGTAAAATGCAGATCTTTTTCTTCTCTTAAGTGCCCACTGGTAACTGGCTCTGGGCCATTCCTTCAGAGACGCCCTGTGCCATCACCTATTTACACAGTGACAGACACTGTACCACTTACCACAACATCCATCAGCCCTTTCCTCCTTAGCAAACCCTGACAACCACCCAAATAAAAGCCTAAGGCTCTCTTTCTTTTGGACAACTCTGTGTGGTCATGTTACTGAGGACCAGTCAATGAGACATGAACAGACTCTTGTGCTGGGTTTCAAGGAAAGCTGTTGAAAGGGACTGAATCAGCTGGGAGGGGTCCTATTTTGGCCTTTCTATCTGTCCTCATTCTCCTGACCAACAGCCTCGAAGCCTAGTGTAAATGTCGGGGACCATGAGAGAGAGCGTGGAAATTATTCCTTTGGATGGTCAAAGAGCAAGATAGAGGCCTGGGGACTTCCCCAGTGGTCCACTGGTTAGGCCTCTACTCTTCCAATGCAGGGGGCACAAGGTCAGTTCCTAGCCAGGGAAATGCAATGTGGGCAGCCAAAAAATTAAGCAAAAGAGGCCAGGAACACCAGGGCACCAACATGCCAGCCCTAGCTTTAGGCAGCACTAAAGAGAGAAAAATAAACCTCCATCTTGGCGAAGTCACTTTTATTTCTAGTCTGTTAAGAGTAGCCAAATACATCGCCAAATTGATACATGCAAATTTCTTTTTCACATACAACTGGATCATGACAGAAATATGGCTGTGAAACTCATGAGAGAAATGGTATTATGTAACACTTTTTTCATTAACAGAGTATCTTACTGTTTTACAATTTAACTTTTTCCATCAGCAGTGTATCTTAGACATCTTTGATTTAACAGCTATTAATGGCCATTTAGGTTATTTTCAGAAGCACTCTTCAATGAACGTACCTATATGAATTACCTTTTTCACAGCTACAGGAGAAAATCTGTAAGATGCATTATTAGAATTCCTAGGTCAAATTTTCCATTTTGACAGAGAGCATAAATGGCCTTCCTGAAAGGCTATTCCAGTTAATACATCTACCAGCACACATACTTTCACCAACAACTAGGAATTATTTAAATGTTTTAATTTACAGTAATATTATAGGGCGTCTGAATTCATAGGAAGATATTTTTCATTTGGTGTTTTCATTTCTGAAAAGTAAAAAACAAATATAAGAATCTGAATAATCTGAATTTCACAGTCTGAGTTTACATTTATGCTTGAGATTAAGTCAATAGCCAAAAAAAAAAAAAAAAAACTGGCAGGAGAAGAGAGCAGAAGGGAACTAAATATGATATATTCTTGCCAAATGAGGGCCAAAAGATGTCACAGTGATCTATTCAACTGAAAGTTTCAGATAAAATTGGTGGGAGAAATGAGGGACCCAAGGCACATGGCAGACAAAGACATGGGTTCAGAAGCACCTGGGCTGTAACATGTTGCCACTTTCTCTTCGAAGCAGTGACAAAGTTTCAGCAAAATATCATTCACCTTCATGTTACCTATACCTAATAATTAATAGATAAAATGATATATCTGAGATTTAGTTTAAAATAGTCCAAGAAAAAATAAGTAGTGAATAGACAGTTGAAAAGAGATTACCAAATGTAGATAGTCTTGAGACTGAATAAAGGCACAAGGGGCGGTCATATCAGCACACACACAAATTTTTTTTTTTTGTAGATGTGGAAATAATAAAAAGTTTGCAGAGTTAATATTAACTGAAAGCACTTCTGGAATGGCAGAGGAAAGAACTCTAAAAATCCACTCATCCATGCAAACAAGAGCATTGACAAAAATTCTCAAAATCAGCTTTTTCAGAATCCTGAAAATTAAATAAAAGCTTGCAAAAATTCAAGGAGCATTTATTCAAGGCAATGACTGAAGCTCAGCAAGAACAGTGAACTTGGTGATGTTTCAACTTGTCCTGATCCCAACCCTCTTTCTCTAGCTGACGTACTAGTAGCGTGGGAAACCCACAGCATCACAGCCACAATCGCTATGAAAACCAGCAGCCCAGGAGAGGACAGAACAGGTCTGGAGCTCCCCAAATGCCCCACAGCCAGAGACTGTCAGGTTTTATCCGCCTGCTGACTGCTTGATAGCTGCATTCTCGGGTTGTCTCCTTAAATAACCTGACTCGGCCCTCTACACACAGACCTGCAGCCTGGGCATTGACGGGGAACACCGACAAGTGGTGAGTGTTTCAACACCACATCTGCCAGAGAAACGTTAGCACCTGGAGCTCACAAAAGGTGAACTAAAAAGCATAAAAGGAAAAACGGGAGAAGATGTCCATAGGAGGCCTTGATAAGCTCTGAAACATTCCAAGGAATTTACAAGGTCACACGCATGAAGGGCTGTGTTCCGCTCAGCAAAGAATGGAATTCTTAATAACCATGAGTCTCCACACAAATAAGAAGTGAAGACTAAGGCAGAGCTGCAGAAGGCATGCCCCCAACCCACACTCAGAGGCCCTCAGCAAAGGCCGACAGAC